GCTGATTTTTTTTTTTGTTCTTGTCGCTGTTTTGTTTTGTTTTTGTGCTGGTCGCTGTGTTTTTGTTTTTTTTTTTTGTTCTTGTTTCCCTTTTTTGTTCTTCTTTTTTTCCTTCCTTTCATCCCACGCTTTATAGGGTGTGTGATTAAATGCAGGTAGGGGTATTTTGTTCATGGGACATGTTGCCGAAGGCACCCTATAATGCAAGACATGTTCCATGCTCTAAGTATCTGAGTAACACACAAGAGAATATTGTGTCCATATTATATTCAAGCCGTTATCTGAGAGATAATGCTTGCATCGTTTGCACACTATTAATTCATGATAAGGACAATATGTCGTATGCGACGTTAGGGGATGTATGAGCACATTATGTGCGGCAAAGGGATCTGGAAGGAAAACAGGAACTGTATAAGGTAATTTATTATGCGCGCATGATGCCGGCACAATGCGCATATACATATATATATATGTGTATACGTGCATGATAGGCAGGGTACTCAGTTTGCAGCATACATATGTTCACATTTCGTGAACGCGAAATCATATGCCCGATGTGAGGATAGGATCCCCGAACTAGAATGTAATATAGGACAGGGCAAAGTGAGTATCCTCCGTGAAGACAAGAAAATGACATATATGTATTCGCTTCCGCATTACTCCAATTGTAGACAAGTTTATGGACAGATACAAGAGCGCTACTCGACGAATTTGTGGCAAGTTTGGAAGATGACAACCTAGACAGCTATGCAGCTAATTGTTTGAACGCGGGTTACAAGTATCCGGGGTATGAACGACCAGTGTACGCGAGGACGGTGGGCGACAGACTTATGTGCAGACTCATGACAGGAGCATTATATTTCATGAATGGGTGGGGCCCCGGGTCCTCTAGCGCGGCCCCTACAGACCCTACTAATGAAGCGTTGAAGGAATATATAAGGTGCGCAATAGTAAATGTATTCATGTACATATTGCTGGAATCTCCATGCAGAAGTAGAATGGGCATACATAATGCATGGTACACCATGAAACAGCTGGAAGACGGGCCAGGGCGTGGTTTAATAACCACAAGTAAATGTGGGCAGGGAGTGTTTCAAAACATACAAACACAGAACTTCGACATGGGAACAGAGATTAAGGGATGGTTAGAGAACAACAAAAGCTTGACTCAAAAATTTGCAGGGCCACGCATACAACGCATATGTACGACAACACTAGAAGACCTTGACGGGGTAAAACCGGGTACATATAAAATGGGTGACCAAATAGAAATGCAGCCAGAGGAGATAGACGCTATACGTCAGTTAGGCAAGGGAGTGAAGACACTTGTTGAGGAGGTGAAGAAGGGGGTTGAGCAATGCGAGCGAGATTATGGGAAATGCATGGAGTCTATCCAACACGTCTCGAGTAGCGATCGTGACGATGAAGCCAGTAAGGCAAGAGTATCGCACGCTGTCAGCAGCGGTAAACCAGCACCAACGCGCGGCGCACCGGCAGGTAAGGACCGATGGGATAAAGCACTAATACGGCACGTACCAATACGGCCGCCACCGATACCACTGCGCGTTGATGCCTCGAACAACAACAGCGCACGCACGGCACATCTTCGCTGCCCCACGTCGGTTGCACGATGAGCACAGCGGCGACCACGATGGCAGCGATAGCGACGAGGCAGCGAACGAGGGCGGTACGGCGACAACATAAAAGTGTACTGCACCATGCAATCGACCTGCCCTGCCACTACCTGATCGAACCGTCCAGGCCCCTTCTTTCTGTACCACTTTGTGTCCTTTTTTTTTTTATCATCTTTTCGTCCATCTTTCGTGCGTCCTTTCTTGTTCATTTGCAGCAGGCACGACACCGGCAGTACCACCAACTACGGTACCAGCGGAACCAAAGAAGGCTGTTCCTGAAGAGACAAAACCAGAGACGGGCGTAGGAAAGAAGGCAGCAGAGGCATCACATCAGAGAGGAGCCTCGGGATCCACAACACCAGTAACGGGGACTCCACGGTCAGAAACACCACCGCAAGGAGCAGGTCAGGGACCAGGACCTGGACAACAACCCCCACCTCCATCACCACCACGGGCAGAACCAACGGACCCTAGTAAGGGACAGAAAGATGAAGAAAAAGCACGTAAGTGCCCTAAGACACCAGAGGCTTCTACAGTCAAGAATGCAGGCAAAGGTCTCGCCGGTGCCTCATCGACTACCACTATCACTTTTGGAACGAGTTCCGGAGCTGAGGATGCATGTGACAAGACGACCAAAGACTCGGGACCAGGTAGTCTCCTGAGTAAATGTCGACAACAAAAACAACGACAAAAAAACACACAACTTTTCCGGCGCGCGCGACAGCGAGAGAAACCACACGTCGAATGAGAATGAAGGGGCGAGACCGCACGGGGCAGCGACGTAGACGTCGATGTAGACGTAGACAGACGTCGACACACACACACTGTGTGTGTTGTGTGTTGTGTGTGGGAGACAGAGAGAGTCTTTTCCCGAGTGGCACCGTAACCACCGTGCGTCTCCTGGCCCGCCGTCCCCGTGGCACCAATGGTGCCGACCGTGTGGCAAAATCATCCAGCGACGGACCAGCACAAACGTGTAGTTGACCGACCGTGGTCCACCGTGTGGTCGAACAATGCAGCGACGGACAGCGGGCAAGCGCCGTCAACGGTGGCACCATCGTGTCGCCCGTGTGGCCGACCAATCGTGATGAACCATCGGTTGCCGACCGTGTGGTCAAGCATCGTCGCCGGACCGTGTGGTCAACCATAACGACCAACCACCATCAGAGACAGAACGTGTGGTCAACCATAACGACCAACCACCATCAGAGACAGAACGTGTGGTCAACCATCATCGCCAGCGACTGACCACGTAGTCAACCATGACCATCCACCGCACAACACTTGAGTTATTTCCATATTCTTCCTTTTCGTTCAAACTCAAAGGTACTGCAAATACACCGGACACGACAGATAACGGTGCGGCGGATTCACCGCAGGCACCCGCCCCCGCACCGGCACCAGCACCTCCTGCAGCACCGGCAGGAGGAGACAGTAGTGGAAAAGATCAATCCTCGGGAGGCACCAGTACAGACCAGGTTGCAGACAACAAAGTTAAGTGTACACAGGGGCCTCAGGTATTTAAGGAAACAAATACAGGCATGGGCATCTCCGGTGCTACATCAAGCATCGTCCTTTCCTTCGCACCTACGTCGGAAAACGATGATGACTGTGACAAGAAACCTGATGACACCGGAGCAGGCAGTGTCCTGCGTGAACATCCAACAGGACAAGAAAGCAAACAACAAAAAATGCAACCACAATTTCCGGCGACACAGGGAGAGACACCACGGAGAGAGAGAAACCAAACGTCGAATGAGAATGAACGGAAGAGCGATCGGTCGGCCGCTGGACGTAGACGTCGACACAGACAGACCGACAGACGTCGACACACTGTGTGTGTTGTGTTGTGTTGTGGGAGAGAGAGTCTTTTTCCGGGGTGGCACCTGCCAACCACCGTTCGCACCGTGGTCAACCGGGAGCGATGGACCCCAAGCACCCGTCGTCAGCCGACCGTGTGCCCAACCAAATATCTGAAGGTGCAGATTCTTTCATATTCTTTTCCTCCTGTTCTAACTTACAGATCAAGATGTTACTCCGGTTACACAACGTACGAACCAGGAAGGATCAGGGGTGCAACCTGGGCAGGAACCAGTGCCAGCTTCATCTGGACCCGGTTCTACTGGTGACCAACACCCCGGTTCCTCCGGATCCGGTTCTACCAGTGCTGGTACTGGAACTACAGAAGGTTCAGGTGCAGCAGGTACAGGTGGCAATGGCCGGGACACGGGCTCCCAGGGAGATTTCTCGGGTCTCTCTCTAAATGACCCTGGCATCTTCAAGGATGGTAACCCTGGTGGTGGAATGGCGCCACCGACCTTAGATGCGGGAACTTCTAAGAACCCTATTGAATACCCCGGCACACCCAGGAATCCGAATAGTGGTCCCCATGCACCCGACCTAACCGGCGATATCCTTACCGCCACTACTCCCATCCTGTTTTTTCTCACTTCCGTCACCGTCGCCCTTCTTGGTTATTCCCTTTGGAAAGTAAGCATGCACACAACCCACAACCACACAACCACACACACACGCACAAGCACGCACAAATATAATCGCGTGGAAATGCACATGGGTTGGTACTGCCGCACTGTTCCCAAAAGGAACTATAAGCAACTTACTATTGGGGAAGTTACTCCCAAAAAATAATATACAAACGGAAAAAAAACCACTAGAGACGTACGTCGCGAAATGC